GTTTATTAACTTACAGCTTGATGACTCGTGTCATTGCTGTAGTTTATTAACGTAACCTTTCCTTCCTTTAGCATTAATGACAAGTCAGCTCTGGTCATGTTATATCACAAATCAGAAATCTTATAGTAGCAACTTGCTCTTTCTGGTGAGGCACGAGCCGGTAGATGGCAGTAATGCACCTGAGCTGTTTACCAACCGTCATAGAAGAAGAAGGAGACCACAGCACTGCGCATGCGCTACTCTGGTTCTCCACGGAGCTGCTGGAGGAAGGTTCTGGTAGGTGTCTGGGTGGATTTAGGTGTGTGTTAGTGTTTCTACAGGCGGTGTGAGAGAACCAACAGCAGCTTTAAGTGTTGGACTGAGGCTGGGACTCAGGTAGGACTCCTCTAGACTCTGTTTACCGCTCTTAGTCGTGCTCACTAGTGATGCTGGACACCAGAGACACCTCCAGTCCGCGGTGGGTTCGGGTCATCCATTGTCTGCAGCCGGACAGGGGCGCATCTACCTGCTTTCGGAGGGGTGTGCAGCACACAGCCCGCTTCACAGAGCCCCATCTTTATGAAGTGTGTAGGTATTTAACCCACCCTAGATGTGCACCAGCACCACAGAGCAGACATGACAAATAAGTGCTGTAGGGGTCCGGGGGCAAGTATTTATACACGCTCTTGGTACCAGAACCAGAAGGTTCTTAGGGCTTTACTGCGGTGCACGAAACAATAAATGATAATAAATACTAAGAAATAAACAGAGTGAAATACTGATAATAATATACGAGGCTGAAGTTAGCTTCCGATTCAGGAAACGGCTAAAGGGCCAGTACACCCAATTTTTCTCTACTCTGACCATCTTCAATCTGCTCTAGCTCAAAAACTACAACAGCCACACTGTTCAGCCCTGTTCTAGATTATTCTACTATAACAGCAGATCACATAAAACACAGTGTGGGATTTGTGACACCTTTCCCTGATTTGTGAAACTCCAACACAGATTGTATTTTCTCGGTGACATGTAGCACAGTTACACAACAGCCACAACTATGCAACAATTACGTTGATGTTTGCGTGTCTTAATTAAAAACAAGCATAAATGTTCAGCCTCAAACTTTTTTACTCTCCACATTCCAGAGAACTTCAGATAATTGAACGTCTCTCCATTTCTGTTTTCAGTTTAATGAGAAGTTTCGCTTTTTTGCTGCAAGAAAATAATTTTTCAGGTATTCTATATTTCTCCATTCTCAAAGACATACAACAAATCTGTTCTTGCAGATATCTTTCAGTGATTCAAACTGTCTGTGTCTCAATTCAGGGTCTGCATCCTTCGAAGGACCCAGCCTACTCGGCCGACATGGGCTGGGTCCTCCGTCGGCCGGGTAGACCGGATGTTAACGGCTGTGAATTTGGACAGGCCTAGCCTTCATGAATTCCCGCCTCTCCCTCGGCGAACGTTCCGTCGCCTAGCAACCGTGGAACCACTGAGCAGAAGAGCGGCCGAACATACAAGCCGAGACCGCAATACAAGCACTTTTACTGTAACATTTCTAACTAAAATAACGTTCATGTATCACAAAAAGTCCTTAACCTAACAGTTTAGGTTTATACTGACATTTATGTGCGCAATCCTCTCCGACAGCTCCCGCTTCACTGTCCGCCATTGTTTTTAAGTTTTTCTGCCGGCCGGCCTGCAAGGCATCTTGGGAAATGCTACCTATTGAAGGATACACCGGACCCATCCTTCATTCAGAAGAAAAGAAGGCCGGATTCGTCGACCGCATTTGAAGGAGTCTTCGAATCGGGACAGGCCTAGTCGTGGCGCTGTGACGTAACCGGCCGACGAATCCGGCCGACGTAGGATGCAGACCCTGAATTGAGACACAGCCAGATTTTCTTACCTCTCATCCATCTCACCATGCTCATTCTTTTCCTCTGCCTCAGCCCTGGTTTCAGAAAGGTGACACTCCGCGCTTTTCAGAGGTGTACGATACATTACGGTAATATGACGGAGTTCCTGTCTGAGAGCCGGCCCGGGAGAAAAAGACGACGCCGTTAGAACAATGGAGGAGCGGAGGAACTGTTGTGGAGGCGTATTTTCAAGATAGTCGGACTATCCGTGCTCGTCGTGTTACTATGGGGCATGCGCAGACCGATTTTTTAAGGCTTTGTTGAAGTTTCACAAATCAGGGAAAGGTGTCACAAATCCCACACTGTGTTTTATTTGATCTGCTGTTATAGTAGAATAATCTAGAACAGGGCTGAACAGTGTGGCTGTTGTAGTTTTTGAGCTAGAGCAGATTGAAGATGGTCAGAGTAGAGAACAATTGGGTGTATTGGCCCTTTAGCCGTTTCCTGAATCGGAAGTTGGAATCTGAAGCTAACTTCAGCCTCGATAATAATATAGAGAAACAGTCATTTTAAGCAGCTACTTTATACAAGTCAGTGTAGGTTCTGGTCAGAGCGGGTCAGTTCAGGTAACACCGGGTCATGTGACTGGAACCAAGCAGCTAGAGTGGGCGGGTCTACGATTGTTGTTCATGAGTCCGACAGCAGAGGGGAAGAAGCGGTTCCTGTGGTGAGAGGTTCTGGTCCGACTGTACCTGAGCCTCCTGCCAGATGCATCCATGCTGCTCAGCACCAGGCCTGCACTGATATCACTAGGTAGCCTGACCTGCCAGACTCGTCCTCTGGTCTACACAGAGAACTAGTCTGGTTCCTCACAGGCACAGAAGCACATGTGGGGCGGGACTAGTCAGCTCGAAAATAACCAATCAGAAAACGGCGGAAATGCCGACTGTACCGCGTGAAGCTGTAGTTTTTAGCTGTAGTCAAAGATGGCGTCTGGCGAAGACGCAAACATCTCCTTCTTGTGGTTTAGGCACTGACGTGTTTCTCTGTTATTCATCAGTAAATGGTAAATGGTCTGTATTTGATATAGCGCCTTCTAGAGTCCTGGAACCCCCCAAGGCGCTTTACAACACAATCAGTCATTCACCCATTCACACACACATTCACACACTGGTGGGGATGAGCTACGATGTAGCCACAGCTGCCCTGGGGTGCACTGACAGAGGCGAGGCTGCCGAGCACTGGCGCCACCGGTCCCTCCGACCACCACCAGCAGGCAACGTGGGTTAAATGTCTTGCCCAAGGACACAACGACAGCGACAGACTGAGCGGGGCTCGAACCTGCAACCTTCCGATTACGGGGCGAGCACTTTACTCCTGTGCCACCGTCGCCCCATACACGTGAAAAGAGAGTTACAGTAGTCTAAGCGTGAGCAGATGAAGGTGTGGAGAACTGTCTCAAGTTCAGAGCGGGACAGAATGGGACTCAGCTTAGCAACGTTCCTGAGATGGAAGAAGGAAGAGCGAACAAGAGAACTGACATGAGAATCCAGGGTGAGAGCTGGGTCAAAGGTCACGCCAAGATTCGTGACAGAAGGTTTGGTGTGAGAAGCAAGCTGACCAAGAAAGTCTCTGACTTTGGAAACCAGCTTGTCTGGGGCACAGATGAGGATCTCAGTCTTATCTTCATCCAGCTGAAGAAAGCTCCCACCATCCAGGTTTTGATGGAGTCTAAGCAGGTGTGTAACAGCTGCAGCTTCGACATCTCATGGGGCTTAAAGGAGATGTACAGTTGGATGTCATCTGCATAGAGATGGTAGGAGATTCCTTTGAAGGAGCTCAGGATGTGCTGAAGAGGAAGCAGATAGAGGAGGAAGAGTAGAGGCCCCAGCACAGAACCTTGTGGGACACCATGGGTAAGGGAGGTGGTGGAGGACCTAAACTTGGAGACGGACACAGAAAAGGAGCGCTTAGAGAGATAAGAGGAGCACATGAAGAGGTGGAGGAGAATGAGACAAATTTGTCTGTTAAAAAGTCTCTTATATACAAAAAACGCAGTATAAATACAGAACAGTGCGACGCCCTCTGCTGTCCTGACGGGGAATTGCTTTGCAACACTCCCCAGGAGACGGAGAAGTTTGAGAGCAAAACATCTCCGTCTGTGCGTGTCTCTCCCTGTTGGAGCTGATGGAGAAGCATGAATTAGGCTTAAGGGAGGAGCAGGCGCTGTTTGGGTCAGCCTCTCCACCCCCTACGCTCTGAGTTTGCGCTCATGCCCCCAGGGCATCGTTTTATGTATCCTTTAAGCCTGCCGCACACGAGAGCAATCGGCTGAGCTAACGGTCATTCGAGGCTGATTGCTCTCATGTGCGGCAGGCTTTAGGAAAACAAATTGCTGCTCGAACTCTTTAGTCCCTTCTGTTATTAAACTGTTACATCTGGAAGGAGGTGTCTAAGGAACATGGACCCAGGGTGGTGGATATTCAGCACTAGAGCCTCTACGTCTGTTGTAATGCTGCTAGTCATACACATGATTGACTGTTTGTACTATGTTGTTTTCGTGGTATGCTACAAATGAAAAGTTTCCTGAATCTGAGTCATTTTAACATCGCAGGCTGTTAGAAGCTCCTCTTTGGCTGATCAGAACCAAAGCGTTGGATCTTTAATCTCCTGCGTTGTTCTGAAGCAGCATCTTAATCAGCTCTCCTGCTTTGTTTCTATTGCAGCTGTTAGCTAAACACGGCTAAAGAAAACCTGCTACCACTTCAGGATCATCCATCAGCTGGGACTGCTTCATCAGCATGGACACAGGTACTGGTGTGTGTGTGTGTGTGTGTGTGTGTGTGTGCGTGCGTGCGCGTGCGTGCGTGTGATGGAGAGATCTCTTAGTTTCTTCAGCATAAAGGGCTAAACCCTGCTGCCATCTAGTGGTCGGAGTTAGAATTTCACCAGACAGAAGAGATCTAGTAAATGCGAGTGTGTATGTAGGGAGACCAGATCCCAACCTGCCAGATGTGGGACAACGACAAGTTCAGATGTAATAAGAAAAAACAAACAAACGTACATTCTGCCTTTTAGCCCTGACATCACTGTTACATATACATACTAATATATTCTTATTCTTATCATATATTTCTTGTATATATTTGATGTGAATTCAACATAAAGAAGCAAACAGCAAAAGCTTTTCTGTTCCACAGTTCCTGTCAAGTTACCACAACATGACTCTGTAGTGGCTCTGATCATTTTAATAACATAGATAGGCCCACAGTAATAAACACATGCAGGTTTAAGCAGCTTTTCAGTTTTCATTCAATGTTTTCCACAACAGAATCACACTGAAAGTACCACTAATGTGTTTTTAAATCTATTCATGTTTGTTTTTAATTCATTTTCCACTAAAATCAGCATCTCATTGAAAAAATATCCATTCTTCTTTGCTATTTATTTTCATAATTCAGAAACAAAACATTTTTTAAACTTAACAACACGTCTCTTCTAGATTTTAGGTGAGAGAATCAACATCAGAGTCTAATCTGTAAAAAATTCAGATCTAATCTAATAATCCAGTTTCTTAGAGTTACTTTTTGCCTCAAATGTCTGAGAATAAGTGATGAAAGCTTCCCTTTACTCTCATTTTTTCTTCTCTGTGCTGTAAAGGGCTCAGCGTGTAGTATCTGACACCGCAGCACCGTGTCTGTGTTAGAGCCTCCATTGTGTTCATCATGGACCTGTCTAATTACTGGAAAACCTGCTTTTGACCTCTTCATATCAGACTCCGCGCCGAGACACGTGTAGCTTCCGGAAATGGTCTGTTTTTCCATCTACAGGTCGACCTCTTCAGTATCGGGTCACATGGAGACATAAGTCTTAACTGGGGCTTTAATCTGCAGTAAAGATGCTGTTGCTTGTCCAAAGTCCCTCCAAGCTCCCTCTTATCTAAGTCTGCTTTGCTTCACAGAACAGGACGGATGAACTTTCATAATTAAATAATTTAATGTTGAAGTTGAGTAAATAACCTTATGGTTGAATGAGCAATAACGGCTGAAGGATAACAATAATGTTTAGATTAATCTGTGCTTAAATTACTGAAGTTGAAATGAATATTATCATGTTATGATCAGTAAAGTTAGATTGAACTCACACTCAGACACGTGACGATGACAAGGTTAGACTAATATCCTGACACGTTGCTTTCTGTTCCACCAATCAGAACTCCTGTACCTGAGCAAGGCGTGTTTTCTGAGGGTTGTTGGTAAATCCCTTTTTACACGTCGAATTCTGATGTGTTAGTAAATCAAAATATGACGATCATTAAAACAGAGCTCACTTCACCGTGAGTCAGTTGTAGAGAAAGCTTCGGACCGGCCATCCAGAGCAAACCCTCTTTAACCCAGAGCACCTTTGTACAATCTGTCAAAAACCTGCTGCACGCTACAGCTGATACCGCAAACGGTTCCTTCAGAATAAAGCTGAACCACCTTCGACTCCTTAAGAGTCCTTCTATAGATGCAAATAACTACCTGTTGTGACCTGGAGACATCCCGAGACCGGTCGAGTGGCACTGCGGTTGCTTCTACGGACTCGGGTACCTTTGGGGTCTACGGACTTCCTGTCTACAACACTATTAGATACTCATTTATACAGTTTATCAGCCAAAAGAATAGTTGGTTTGGATGTTGCTTGCTCTTTAAAGCAATAATATTACTGTTACATGTGTGAATAGAAAGTTACAGCATTCAGTAATTCACTGTTTTTCTGTTTTTCCTACAGGTGTTAAAATAATGGCGCTGGTTAAAGAAGAAGCTCATGAAGAACAGAGTGCTGGTGAGGACCAGCAGGAATCAGAACACCTTCACATAAAGGAGGAACAGGACGACCTCTGGACCAGTCTGGAGAGAGAGCAGCTACATTTGAAGGAGACTGATGCTGCCAGATTTCTATTCACTGCTGGTTCTATAAAGAGTGAGGATGATGAAGAAAAACCTCTCGTCTCACAGCTTCATCAGCAGCAAACAGAAGACCGAGAAGTTCCAGCGAGCAGCTCAGCTGACCATGTGACAGCAGAAATGACAAGTCATTTAGCAACAAGGTCTTCAGGCTGTTGTGTTAGTAAGGAATGTGTTATAGTGAAGCAACATGCAGACTCATGTAGGGAAGTCCAGAAAAAGACTAAAACGTTTAGTTGTGATCACTGTGGAAAAGAATTTATGGTTAAATCAAGTTTAAACAGTCACATGAGAATCCACACAGGACAGAAGCCTTTTGCCTGTGAGCTGTGTGGACAAAGATTTACCCGAAAGACACATTTAAAAGATCACATGAGAATCCACACAGGACAGAAGCCTTTTGCCTGTGAGCTGTGTGGACAAAAATTTAGTCATAAGACACATTTAAAAGATCACATGAGAATCCACACAGGACAGAAGCCTTTTGCCTGTGAGCTCTGTGGACAAAGATTTAACCGACGAACAAATTTAAGCAGACACATAAGAATCCACACAGGACATAAGCCTTTTGCCTGTGAGCTATGTGGACAAAAATTTAACCAACGAACAACTTTAAACAGTCACATGAGAATCCACACAAGACAGAAGCCTTTTGCCTGTGAGCTGTGTGGAAAAGGATTTAACCGAAAGACAGTTTTAAACAGACACGCAAGAATCCACACAGGACAGAAGCCTTTTGCCTGTGAGCTGTGTGGACAAAGATTTTGTTATAAGGCAAGTTTAAACAGTCATATGAGTGTCCACACAGGACAGAAGCCTTTTGCCTGTGAGCTGTGTGGAAAAGGCTTTAACCGAAAGACCGATTTAAACAGACACACGAGAGTCCACACAGGACAGAAGCCTTTTATATGTGAGCTCTGTGGACAAGGATTTAGTCAAAAGAGAAGTTTAAACAATCACACGAGTGTCCACCCTGGACAGAAGCCTTTTGGTTGTGTAACTTGATGTAAGTGGTTACTTTTAATAAATGATCAATACGATGTGATATTCCATATAAATATGAAATATCAATATTATTGATCTTTTGAAATTTCATCTAAAATGAAACCAGGTCATTTTGGTAGTTCGGGGAAATCACACCTTCGTAATATTTTGAGACCGAGCGAAGAATAGTTTCTAAAAACCACCTTAATACAACATTTCTACTACTGTGTGGATGGTGGCACAGGAGTTAAGTGCTCGCCCCGTAATCGAATGGTTGCAGGTTCGAGCCCCCGCTTAATCTGTCGCTGTCGTTGTGTCCTTGGGCAAGACACTTCACTCACCTTGCCTGCTGCTGGTGGTCGGAGGGACCGGTGGCGCCAATGCTCGGCAGCCTCGCCTCTGTCAGTGCGCCCCAGAGCAGCTGTGGCTACATCGTAGGTCATCCCCGCCAGCGTGTGAATGTGTGTGTGAATGGGTGAATGACTGATTGTGTTGTAAAGCGCCTTGGGGGGTTCCAGGACTCTAGAAGGCGCTATATCAAATACAGGCCATTTACCATTTACTAATGATGACACGGAACAAACGATGATAAATTATGGTTGAAAGAAGATAACTGGGACAATGAATGAAATGATGGAATGTGTACTTAGATGTTATGTAGCAAAACCAAGTGTCTTAGAAAATTGTGATGTCTGGGTTGTAAAATACGTCTGAATGTATGGTATAACAATCTCTATTAAAACACCATCCCACGCCAGTTGTGCAGAATCTACGAGTCCTTGTGGTGAAGGCTGCCGGTGATCCAGCGGTCGGAGAAGTTGATACAAACTGCCAGTAGAGTTGACTTCTGTGGTATTTGGAGCACATAGTTTCACCCCAAAAACCAAACCGCTGTTCTGAGATACCTTCCAGGTGAGTGCTGGAAGCTGGTGTAACAATTTTGCAACTGCACAATAATTTCAGACTTCCTCATCTGATGTGGAGAGACCAGCTTGTCTGAGCGTAGCCTTTAGGAGGCGGATCTCAAGTCTGGCCTTGGTTGTTCCTCTGAAGGTGTCAGCAGGACTTTTCCGAATCAGCTCCATGTGCTGCACTTGAGCTGAAGACTTTCGAGGTGTTGACTGTGGGAGTCCTTCAAGTTCTGCATATGCTGGGTGTAACTGCAGGCCTCTGTGGGTTCGGTTCCACTAGTAGCAGAAGGTGTACTACTGCATACCTTGTTGAACATCAGATCAAATAGGTTTGATTAGACTGAAACTTTTTATTGTCCTATGCACGGTTAGATAAATGTTTCCCTGTACAACAACAAGCCAATTTTTAATAGCTAGCTGATGATTTTGTCGTAGAGAAACAGTTCTCTGTCATGAACCGGGAGAGTTACCATGTGATGTTCCAGCCCCCGCCCAGTCGAAGTTGAAAGCCACTGTCACTGCAACTTTGCACAACTGTAATATGATTCATTTTTCAGTTTAGCAACGCTTCAACGGGTATAACAGAACATGATGATCCCCTGTGCTACGTTACGTGCATTTGCTACACAAAACTCACACATCAACACAGATTGTTGACAAAGCTACTGCAGTCTACGATCAACCATCATTGGTGTGAAGATGATTGCATGAATACGGCGGACATAGCCGGAATAAATTAATAAAAATATACAAAACGTTCCCAGATTTCTGGTACGGTCGAACTCTTCAACAAGAGTCTCATTGTTCCCGAATGTTTTCTTGATTTAATCGTCCCCTTTGAAGTGTGCACTGCACAAACAAAATGTTTTGACTCATTCCAGCCGAGTATCCATGGCATAGCCGATTGCCAAAAGTGATGCTAGAGAAGCGGCCTTCACAGGGAAAGTGTGGAACCTAAAAGGTGATCCTGTAACATCCTTATTGTTACAACCGGGAAACTGCAAGTACGCACCATGGCTCTATATATGTAAGAACAACTCCTTTTAAGTGACTTTGGAAGTTGTTGTTTCACTCATACAGACAGGATTATAGCAGCCAGATGACGCCGTTTTGTCCCTGCGCCGAGTGGCGCATGATAGGAATAATAAAAAGTAGTCCCGTTTTAATGTGAAGTTGTCAATTTACCTGGCTGTGTTTCTGAGATGTACATTAGTCATGCTTTCAGAGGCAAATCCTTTTGTGACGCTAAACGGCGGAGATGCAGTACCCCCGAAACTAGCCAGAAGTTGTTTCCTGAATCCCTTCCCCCTGAAAATCTCTGAGCAGGGTGTGTGTGAAATGGGTCATTGTTTACAGAGCACTGGGTGGGATAAGGAACGCATACAACTTCATATCTCAAAAAGCGAACTATCCCTTTAAAACAAAACTCTTGAAAATTGGAGAGAACATGATGCTCTACACACCAGGAGTCCTACTTATCCTGGAAAAATAGTCTAGTGCTTTATAAAAATAAGCTTCAACAAGCTAGAACTGCATATTTTTCATCGCTAATTGAGGAAAATAAAAATAATCCAGAATTTCTTTTCAGTACAGTTGCCAAACTTACACAGAATCATAGCTCTGAACCATCTAGTCCCTTAGCCGTCAGCAGCAACAACTTTAATTCAATTCAATTCAAAAATACTTTATTAATCCCAGAGGGAAACTGATCGCTGTAGTAGCTCAGAATCAGGGCCGTGCAGAGACCTTTGAAGGGGCGGGTGCTCAAATTTAAAAAGGGGCACACAGAATAATATTTTCTAACACCATGACATAACCACAGTATACCCGGCTGAATAACAAATCACATTTATTAGAAATTCAAAATGGAAGCGAATCATTATATACACCCTTACCACATAAGGACAATGTAAAGCAAAAGTAACTTGTTTGGTAAATGGTCTGTATTTGTATAATGGCTTCTTAGGGTTCTACACCCCCCAAGGCACATTACAACACAATCAGTCATTCACACACACACACACACACATTAACACACTGATGGCGATGAGCTATGATGTAGCCATAGTTGCTCTGGAGCGCACTGACAGAGGTGAAGCTGCTGAGCACAGGCGCCACCAGTCCCTCCAACCACCAGCAGGCAAAGCAGGTTAAGTGTCTTGCTCCAAAAGGAAACAAGCTGACTTACTGTGAGCCGGCAGGGTGAGTGGCTTGGGCTGATCTGGTCAGAACAGGCTTGAGTAATCCGATAGGATCTGGTAGGAACTCGGAGCATAGTCTGGTTAGTAACGATGACTGAGTGGTTTGGTGTTGAGCTGTACTTCCTTATGTAGACGTGGCGGGTGACGTGAGCCGGAAGGCTGGCGCTGGGAATGCTGGGTAGTGGAGTTTGACTGGGCTGAGTGAGCGTGGGTTCCTCCGGGGGAGGATGTCGAGGGTTGAGAAGGAGGCAGCGTGATACTGAGGTTCAGAATCGGTACCCAGCCACACACACACACCCAGCTAGTAATATATCACACACCTAGTGCCACAAAACAACTTAACAATGTACAAAATAATCTAATAACTGTGTATAGTAGTGTGCATCCTTCTTACCGGTGTTAGTCCGTTTCTCCCAATCAATATGTACGTCCTAAAAGCTCTGCACCGCTCCCTCGGCCATGAAGAAACTGTGGGTGCTCGCAGCTTGTTGTGACCGGCTGTGCGCTCTGGCGTGAGGAAGAGACGGTATGGTCACATGACTCACGCCAGCTATATAACTTTATTAAATAGAAATTTTATTAATTATTATTTTTGTTATTGTTGAGGGGGCACAAACAGAAAATTCTTTAAAAAAAAATAAAAAAATATAAAAAAAATCATTAAACCTCAAAAAGGGCACTTTGGGTACATGGGACTAAAGGGGCAGGGTCTCAAGCACCCTCCAACCCCCCCCCCCCCCCCCCCCGCCCTATACCTGCCCCCAGGCAAAACTGTTAGAGCCTCCCCTGCACAGTCACCAGCATCCTATGAGCTACATAAAAAAGAATCCAGGTGACATTAGTTCATAAGTTTTCTTCTAGACATTCATGTAATCTAAATGTAAACAGTTTCACCATTAACTGTTCAGCTGCTCGGATGATTGAGTCCGGACATCTCCTATTTCTTCTCTATGTTTCTCTCTCATCAGATCCAAACTGACACCATGACCAGCAGCTTTTACAGCAAACATCGGCTAATAAACGGATCCGCTGATGATCAAATGCACCTGAGTTTAGATGCCACCCGCCTCCTTTATTGCCAATAACACAAAAAGAAGAAAAACATGGTGGGGAATGAGGAGACGGCCGGCCGAGCAGCATAAATAAAGACACCACAGCGTTGTCTTTTTTTGTTTGTTTCAGTCTAGCTAAACTACAGGACAAATCACGTTGTTTCAACTCATACGAACGATTCGGGTTTTCTACGGGACGGTTGGCAACCCTAAAAATCACAGCACCCGGCCAACAGTAGAAACTCCGTATAACAAACAGTAAGATGAGTTATTGTAACTGACTTTAAAAAGTTAGCAAGCAGGGCGATGTCAGTAAACTACACCTGAACTTGGCTTATATTTGACCCAGATAACTTCTTACCTGAAATTCGGTTCTGCCACTTGGTCAGGCTCGGGTTCCTCCTCCTCCCTCTTTTCTTCTCCAGCCTGTCGCTGGGCTGAGGCTCCATCACTTCCTAAATTGATTTTACTTGAACCTTCACTACCTAACAACTGTGAGATTTTAAAACATGTGCCAGCATCTGTCTGAAGGGCCAGTTTCTTTTTTAGTCGAATTTTCTCCGCTCCTCCTTTCCGTTGTTTGTTCTCCATTTTGTTAAGCTCGTCTGTCTGTTTACTGACACTCAAACAACTGGCGGGTGCATCAGACCTCTGGCTATTGGTCCAGCCCAGAGTGTATTATGACCAATTGGCCAATCCACCAACTTGGGAGCGGCGCGGAAAAATTGTCCGCAACAACTAGAGGCCGAAAAAAAAAAAAAAAAAACACCGGCCCATAAAAGATGAAAGGGTTGGCCCAGCGGGCAGTTGCCCGCTATGCTCTGTGGTCAGTCCAGCGCCGACAGAAGTCAACTCTACTGGCAGTTTGTATCAACTTCTCCTACCGCTGGATCACCGGCAGCCTTCACCACAAGGACTCGTAGATTCTGCACAACTGGCGTGGGATGGTGTTTTTAATTCAGATTGTTAAACCATACATTCAGACGTATTTTACAACCCAGACATCACAATTTTCTAAGACACTTGGTTTTGCTACATAACATCTAAGTACACATTCCATCATTTCATTCATTGTCCCAGTTATCTTGTTTCAACCATAATTTATCATCATTGGTTACGTGTCATCATTAGTAAATGGTAAATGGCCTGTATTTGATATAGCGCCTTCTAGAGTCCTGGAAACCCCCAAGGGGCTTTACAACACAATCACTCATTCACCCATTCACACACACATTCACACGCTGGCGGGGATGAGCTACGATGTAGCCACAGCTGCCCTGGGGCGCACTGACAGAGGCGAGGCTGCAGAGCACTGGCGCCACCGGTCCCTCCGACCACCACCAGCAGGCAACGTGAGTGAAGTGTCTTGCCCAAGGACACAACGACAGCGACAGATTAAGCGGGGGCTCAAACCTGCAACCTTTCGATTACGGGGTGAGCACTTTACTCCTGTGCCACCGTCGTCCAGACAGTAGTAGAAATGTAGTATTAAATTTGTTTTTAGAAACTATTTTTCGCTCAGTCTCAAAATTTTACGAAGGTGAGATTTGCCCGAACTACCAAAATTACCTGGTTTCCTTTTAGATAAAAATT